CTAAGAATCTCGTAAAGTCACGAAAACTCATTTGTAGGAAATGTAGGTCGACATTCCTTAAGTAAGGATTTCAAATGCAATTTGTATCTTTTTATAAATGAATAGCGATCTCGCAAGTATACTCCAATTTTGAGATGTATTTGACATTCGATTGTCACATGTATGTTATGTGTGTCAAAGATTGACTCGTAAAAGCTCTGCTGCCTCTTTCTCATTATACATTCTCCCTTTAAAGATCCTAATGCTTTTAAAAAGATTTAATATCTTTATTAGTTTATACCATAAAATATCATTTTACTTCTCTACGTCTCAATTTACTTTACTAATTATTTGTATGTTTCTAATTGCTCCTTATTTATTCATTTCTCAACAGATATGTAAATGTATAACGGGGCAATTCAACATTAATGTACAAATATGTTTTCGCAGAATCTGACGCTGCCTTGTTAGATTATCCCAACGCAGCCTTATCAAGTTATTCTCTACGTTTAAATAATACGAGCAGAGCATATGTCAGAGATGTTACGGTTACTGAATATAGTTTTGCTCTAATAAACCGTTGAAATCTAATTCCAGCTTATTAAACACCATAAGCTGCCTCTTGCCAACATATTAAATGCGGCTTGTTTTATTGATTGTACATGTGTGTGTGTCAGTATGCGCGTATACTTAGCACAGATATTAATTACCGTCAAACGAACAACCTCTTAGTGTGACTTTCATTTCGAGATGTATTCATAGACCTAAAGCTACCAACTGGCTGTGGACTCCTATAATGAACGAAAACGTCAACATGAAATGCACATATAGATACATCGTTCGCGCTCTCTTTTTATACAGAAATTACATTTATGATTCTGTGGTAGCACTGATGATTAGTTTCGTTTTCATTTAACTCATCACTCTGTATGACATGATTCGACATGTAAACATTCATAATTACAAAATTGAGAAACTGTAGTTATTACATACACATGTTTGTATGCGTGTAATAAATATATGTATATAAAATATTCAAAAATATTATGCATGTTATCGAGAAATAAAGGAGTGACGAGCATGACGATCGTAGACGATGAAATCATGCATTTTCCGTAGATGCGTAATTTCAAACAATCTTGAAAAGCTTGAGGGAGTTAATTAAAGCGTTATTAAAACTATCGAAGAATTAATTGCGCGGAAAGAGAAACAAATTAGCTTCCTGCAAATTACTCACCCGGAATCTAAATATTGCTTTGTTTTGACATATCGCCCGCGAATGCATCAAGGGAAAAAGGCATCTTAATACAGTTTTATCCTCGTTAGTTTAGCGAGCTAAGGAAGGGCCACGTTTCGTATCTCATTTGCGAAAAAGATTGATCAGTTAAAGTTAAACGATATGTTTTCGTGAAACGCTCTTTCGGTCGCTCGCACAATAATGCATAAATCCTCGCCAATGAGCCTTTGGCATAAAAAAGCTGGCATTCATACTGCGCTAATAACTGCAGTAACAATAACAGTTTCATCGGTCGTGATAACCGCATAACGATAATGATACGCTTTTGCGAAAATGTCACACAATAGAATCTCTAAATACAGATTCCGCGCTTTCGAGCGATGTTATTCGAGCTTTTCATAATTATGTCTCGTAGAATAAAATTTTGCCAAATAAAAAAATTTTAATTATCTTAAAGTTGTGCAAATATAAGATGTACAGTGAGCAACAAAGTTAAAATTCATGATCTGAAAATTCAAGAAATTATTTAGAATTGTATTATTTTAAAAATATATATACTTCAATTTTTTTGTATCTGTTCTTCGATTAATATATGAGCTATATTAATATATAATTTTTTTATGTGAGGTTTTTACTTAGGTGATAATGTTTTTCAACTAGCATAACTATATAATGAACTACATATACATATATATATACATATATATAGAGGATGGCGTCAATGCAGTATCTTGTAATCTGCGAAAATGGAGTTTTTTTTAGAACAAAAAAATGAAAAAAGCTCTTAAGTTTGCGCACAATCTATCTGATAGTATAGCAAAGTTTGCGAACTTTTTCTGCCGATCCCTCTCTTGTTCTCTCCTTTTTTTCTCTCTTTTTTTCTTTAGCAACATATCCTTTTAGCAACAACGACTTCCGTGAACCACGTGACTAAGTCGGGAACTCATTTACATAAGAAATGCGAATACGAAAGAATATTACGTGGGAAGATTCTAGTGTCTTTATGACAGCAAAAAATATTATCAGTCAAAACATCGGAGTTAAAATAATGAACACCAATTTCAACGCTTTTTTTCCACGGTTTTAACCACGCAGACATGGCCATTGCATAATTCAATCATCTGATACAGTAAAATCACATGTGGCGTGTAGAGATGGATAATTTCACGCGCGATTCAAAACTGTATCTCATAAAAATAAAAAAAATACGTCGGATATTTTCGAGCGGTTTTTAAATGGGAAAAAGTAATTTCCCTCGGAAATGTCCCGCAAAATGAGATGGCGAAGATCGACGATTATCGAGATTTTTTTGGTGGTCGTCGCTGCCATCACGCTCGGTTTTTTTTACGACCGCGATTTTTGTACAATCCTGAGAATATTTCTCTTTCGTGTCGGGCCGTTAAATCCCCTCCTTGCTTACCACTCCAGAACATTGCCGAGGTGTCGGGCAAGGGTTAAACTTGGAAATCTCTTCCTGCCGCCGAGTTAATCCCCGAGAATCGCGGAATTATTAGTACTTTCAGGAATCCGCTGAAAAAGCGGCGCGCGCGACATTAAACTGCCATTCCCATGGAATTTTAACTCGTCTCGTCTCTTCGAAACGATTTACCTCCGCGACGTAATTATTTCACTTTTTCGAGTATACGCGCAGGCTTCGATTTACATTATTCGCACGCAGTATCTCTCCATGCAAATGTTAATAATACCTTCGCGGACCGACCTTTTGTCGCAAAAACGCGAAACCGCCCGAAAGCACGAAATTTTTTGAGAAACTTCTTTTTGTCGAAGAACATCGAGAGTGATCGTTTTTCGATACGGGAATTTTATTTCGCAATTTCTCTGATTATATAGAGAAAATGACCGTATATGGCCGTAATAGCGCACCACTGTAACGCAGACTAGCAACAGGTACAAGGACTTGTACCATCTGGCGTCAATACCGCCGATATGCTTCCGTCGAATCATCAATAACAAATATGCGAGGAAAGGATTGAGTGGTCGCGTATTATAAAATGCTAAATTTCAACAGTTTTAATTTTATGAAACACATTTATGATAATATCATCATTATACAAATGATATAATTATTTCTCAATTAGTCACAATACGTTGCAGATTTTATGGAATATATTATAATAATTTATTTTATTCTTCTATTATATATGTGAAATTCATTGCTCTTTGCAATTGATAAAAAAATTTAACGCGTTCTAAAATTTAAAAATATATATGTTTAAATAATACGGTCGAAAAAATTCTGCCTATTTTTTTCACTGTTGTTTATTCAGCTCCAAAAAGCTATGTTCTACACCGAAAAGTATTGGAAAAGTTTTTCAAACTACGATATTTTCGCATTGTGTGTATAACAAGGAATTTTCTTTGCAAAGATATTCCATAAATCCTATCTCGGACAGGTCGTAGAAGATAACGCAAAATTGGATACGGTAAGATATAAAAGGATAGAATTTGGGCGAAATTGAAGAAGAATCCACGAAATCAAATATAAGAGAGAGAGAAAGAGAAGTTAAGTCCAACGCGGCGGAGGATTCGTTTATAATAAAGAGTTTCACCCGAGCCAAGAACTTGGCTGTTGGCGGAATGGTGTTCGCGAGAATTAACTGCAATTAAGGGCGATTTGCCGACGGGCGTAAAATTTTACGTGGGCGATGGTGGATACCTACGCGAAAAGACGATAAACTTTCGAGCGATACTCATCCCCGTTACTTTAGCAGTTCGCTTCGTTGTGCAAACTGTGGCACAGTACATACGGGTATCTCCGACTACTTTATGATTTAAATCTTTAATCTTGACATACCAACGAGGGATGCTGAGCACGGGGGAATAAGTGCGTGATTTAATGTTATTATTATATTTAGAAGATATAATAGCAAGTCATCTGAGCTCATTCATGTTATAAAGTGCGTTATCATGTTATATTATAAATAAGTATTGGCCAAAATGTAGAGATTTGTCCACCAATTTATTTCCATGTTTTCTATTTTATTCGTGAATATTTATTGGTCTGTATCCTTATAATTAGAAGATATAATAGCAAGTCATCTGAGCTCATTCATGTTATAAAGTGCGTTATCATGTTATATTATAAATAAGTATTGGCCAAAATGTGGAGATTTGTCCACCAATTTATTTCCATGTTTTCTATTTTATTCGTAAATATTTATTGGTCTGTATCCTTTTTTCTTGGATATTATACTATTATCTACGTAATTTATTCGTCCAGCAATATAGTATGTAAAATGGAATTTTCAAAATGCATTGTCGAGAAAAAAAAACAAAAGGCGTTAATATCATGTAATATCGCACACGGTGATCAATATCACGCGTTTTGATAGAATTCAGCGTTTAAATCTTCATCCAATGATTGAAATGTCAAATACAATTATACTGCGTAAATTAGTCTAATTTGTGCCTATTTATATTAATTGGATAAATCCGTGTAAATACACAACGTTATATCAAAATCAATAAATTGCAGCGTTTAAATTTTCGAATGATTCGGAATAATAAATATACGAATCACATATCAGACTAATTTCTTTTTTTTGTCATAGTAATCAAATAAATGCAGCAATAATTACCAATAATTAAGCATCTGTTCGATAATATAATCTCTTAAAATGCATAGCGTGATGAAAACGCAGCCTCTCACGATAATATTCGCGAAGAATTGAAGTGATCAGAGAGGAGAAACATTGTATAATCCCAACTTTTTAACTTTACTATATAATCTCTAACAGATTGATAATAAAGAACTGTCGCTCACCGTCAATATCAATTTCCTGCAGCATGGTTCTTAACTCTTCCGCTCTCGCAAATTGTCCCAGGGAACGCATGACTCTGCCGAGTTCTTCTTTAGTAATAGTTCCGTCGCCGTCCTTGTCAAACAACCTGAAGGCCTCTCGGAATTCTGTCGAGGAAAAGAAGAAAAAAATAGTATGAGTAACTCCGCTTCGGTTTTTTTCTGAAAATAATTAAAATTATATCAATTCTCCAATATCTCCGAGAAAATTCTCCAGCTTCACAGTCGGGCGTATAAAATATTCCAATATCTATCGCCACAATTACGAAATTAAGACTGAATTTACAAATAATTTTTTTTTTTACGATAATTTGACATAATTTATGCGCTTTGAATAATTTCGAATTTTTTATGTTGAATATCTCCTGGTAACTGACATCAAGTTTCCGCTCTCTCTGGAATCGTTCCTTTCCTATTCAAAGTCAGTTACTGATGCCGATTAACTGAACTATAAAGATGGTTGCTAACAAGTTGAATTCCCCGAGAGAATTTGACGAGCTACGACTGTACAAGCTGTACGGATTTGGTTCGACGGTGCTCGACTCGATCGTTTAATAGCCTCGTTTCTCGCGTCATTGATTCCCGATGAACCTTCACATTACACGCGTTCGTATCCACGCACGATTGCTGGTTTGAGAATAGAAGCTACGAGTCCTGACATAATCGACGATCATTGTCTTGTACCTGTATTTGTTATTTGAATTCCGTCTTAGAATCTTGCATATGTCAAATAGAATATTCGCGAAATGTAAAATTTTATATCTTAAAACGCGGACGATTTGAATAACCGCATTTTAAATATACATTATTTAAATTTCAGTGAAAAATTGAGAAATTCTTTTCATTTATTTTAGATTTGTGTCCACTTGGGAACGTAGCATCAATCTTTACTTTTGCTGCTTTTTCTAATTTTATTTTCAAAAACTTTCGAAACATTAACGTAGAAAATAATGTTGTACAGAAAGTCTTTATATAAATCAATCCGCCTCCACATTATTGATTATATGTAACGGAACAATTATTGAGACTTTTTCTCAAGAGTTGACTACTGAATCATATCAAAGAGAGAAATTAAGCTTATGTTCTAAAGTAAATTTCATTTGAGTTTCTCAATTGTTGAGTTGGAAATACAAATATAATTTTGTAAGCACCAAATGGAATTTTAAGAGAGAGAGAGAAAAGAGAGAGAGAGAGAGAGAGAGAGAGAGACTCATTTATAATTGTAATATTTCAAAACAAATCGTAACAAGAACGTGATTATATATAGATTTTAAGGTCACGTTGTTATTACAGTCACGCGAGTTTTAAAATTAAAATTTATCGAGATATTTCGATATCAGAAATATTAGAATAACTAAATAAATATACTGAATATATTTTTGAAATATCGGGACAAACTTTAGGAATATATAAAAGTATAATAAGTATATTATAATGTATATAAAAAGAAAAATACAAAGAGAAGACAAAAAAAGAACAGGAAAAAGCAAAATTTTTATTCTGACTTCGATATAAAAATCAAGAGAAAAATATATTTCAATAAATTTTCATATTTATGTAATTCATGTTGTAGGATAAAATACAATAGAGTATAGAGCATATACTCGTATTTTCCATTCTTTTTACTTTACGATTCCAATTACAGTGTCAATTGGCAAAACTGATAATAGTATAGATAATAAATAATATAGAGTAACACTGTGCTTTTTTTATATGTCTTTACAATTGTTTCAAAGGAAGTTCTTTTATGATGATTATAAAGACATGTGACAATTTGTCGGAAGAAATTAAATTCATTAAAGTATGTGTTATTAAAGACTTGTGATTTTCGTAGATATTTTTAACAAATAAAATCTTATATAAAATCAGCAAAAGAGTTCTTTTTCAAAACAGATCCATTTAAGACAAAAGATTTAAACTTTGTAAATTTTATTTTTGCGTTGCGCTTTCAAAGAAGTTTTGAATATATTCGATTGAGAGGTAATCGATCGTACACTACATAAAGTAACGCTGTTTAAAATAAAGTTTAATAAACAGTTTGTAGTTAGACGAGTTCAATCAAAGCTAAAATGTTTTAAGGCATAAACGCGTGTTTTAAACAATATTAAAGACAATTACCGAGTTCTTTCAAAACTATTGTTTCTAATGTAAAAGAAACTTTATAATCTATAGTCGTAATGACATTACAAGAAAAATGAGCGGCAGATTGCTTTTATTTAATCTTACTGTATAATAAATACTCTTGAAATTAATATCTCGATCTGCATAAATATGCTACAAAATTCAAAAAAGAAGATAAAATTGTTCGCAATTACTCATCGTTTCTCGTGTATATCCTAAAAAAAATTAAAATTCTTAACATCAATTTGACAAAAATTGACATCAATTCTTTTAATCAACAATTTTTCAGTTTGATTTCAGAGAATTTATAATATAAAAAAATTCAAGAATAGCTTAACAAGAATAATTAGAGGCAAAACGAAGGAAAGTACTACACGACATGTGAAACGATATTACAGACATTACAATGCAATCTGTTTGACATCGATTGGAAATCACTATTCGCCCTCATGTGAGTGAAATAATATTTTCCAGCGCGATATTTATAAAGGCAGAAAGAAAAACAAATCGCGCACATGATAGACAAAACGCGAAAAATGTTCGACGTTTGCTGACACGCTGTACGTATATATGCAATATAAAATTATTTATCTCACGTACCGATCACGTTCGATCAATTGGGCAGATTTTCCATTCTCGAATGTGTGCACATATATATCCCGTTAAGAGCGATAACGACGGAAAAAATAATGGCTACGAAGCTGAATAAAGTCACAACGGCGACGCGAAGCTGCGCGACACACGATCGTAAGCTTTACCCGGGATTAACGAGTGATGACATCAAACAGGTGAGATATCGTTCGTTATCCCCCCTGGGGTGTGCCAAATTGAATTCACCGCTGTATCTCTATCATTCATCCGGGATTTGACGCCGCACGGATCGGATCAAAAGAGTATAGATGAATTTGCGATTGGCTAATCTCGTTATAATGAACACGAGATTGCTTCCGCCGAAATTATTATTCTGATTTATTTCAACAGAGATTTTAATGAAAATTGTATTCCCTTAATGACAATATCAGGAAAAACATCTATATCGTAAATAAATAAATTTCCAAATTTCGATATCAGATTTTTATAACGCTATGCAAATATGTATATTCGTATTTATGATACCAGATCTATGGATAAATTGCGCAAAAAAAGATATCATTTATATGAAGCAAATTAAATGTGCAATAAAATTCAACAGTTTAAATCTCTCGACTCACCCTTCATCTGCGACTTTGATATGGCGTCTTGCCGGAAACGTTGCTCGCCGATGATCGTTTTGGCGAAGCTGGTAGAGACATAATGTTCGTCGAGAGAGGGCTAAGGGATGACGAGGGCGCGGCGAATGTCGTCTTTTCCGTCGTCAAGGCTAATTCTTGTGTCTGCTGCTGACGTCGTCGCCGCTGTAGATCTGAGACGTCGGCGGGACATACCATCGTCGGCGACCCCGGAACGATCGACGATGTCATCGATGACGCCGTCATCGTCGTCGACGTCGGCGTCCGCGGAGGACAATCCGACCCGGTGTCTTCTTTTCCCTCGGCTCCATCTCCAGCCTCGCCGCTGCTCTGTCTCGTCTGCAAGCAAAAAAAAAATATATAAATAAACTGCAATGCATCCACCCTTAGGAGAGGCTTTTCGGCCGCGGACGGAAGATGTCGACGATGAAGACGAATTCATTTATTTTTCTCTTGTCAATTTTGACACAAGTTAATCGCAAATTATTAGTATCTTTGGAAGAAGAATTGTGATAATTTCCTATCACCTAATCTATTCTGTAATCATTTATGACGCGTTTCATCATCAAAAATGAATACGCAAAGTGGTGCGACAATATGGTATTGGAAGAATCTTATAAGAGTTTCTCTGATTAATATTTACCACAATGAAAATATTAATATGTACATAGTAAATTTTACAAAGAATTTATTATGTACATAGTAAATTTTACTATGTACATATTAATATTTTTATTATGGTAAATATTAATCAGAGAAACTCATAAGATTCTTCCAATACCATATTGTCGCACGATTACCATGATTTTCAGGGTAAATTCTAAGAGAAAATTATCTCTGTGTACGAGTTTATAAATTCAATATTATTAAAAAAAATTAATAATTTTTTAATAATCGAATATTGTGTAGCATGTTAAAATAATGTGGTTTTATAACAAGAGTATATTTCAGTTTTTGCAAAAAGTAATCTTTTTCAAAAGCTAGTATATTTATATTTTTTGAAAAAACATCTTTCTACATAAAGTATCGTATAAAGTAAAATATTATCGTATATAAAGTACATTACACTAACAATCTCGGTCTAAAACATCATACAATCTTGAAGTTTCGAAGGAAAAAAGCTCATATATTGCTTATGTTTGTGAAGGGTGTTTTTTTCAGGTGCTAAATTGTTTATAGCTCATCCCTGTTGCTCGTTTTATGCGTCTCTGAGGATATAAGAGAACCTAAAAGACTATAAACCATTAACCGCGATAAAGTTGAGTGACAAGCAAATCGCTCAAAGGCTGCGTTAATATTTAATCCGTTCACGTCAAACGTTACTAAGTTACGGAATATAAACTTCTAAGATACTAATATGTAAGCGTATTTAACGATGCAGCTTTGACGTTTGCCGCTTTAATGTCAGAAAATTTAACAACCACTAAAATTCACTCAAATATTAACGTATAGAAAAGACGCGTGTATATTTAGGATACGAAAATATGTTATAAAAATCTTTTGAGGGAAAAATTTTCCGAGTTTATTAACTTAAAAAAAAAACAAAAAAAACAAAAAAATATACGTAGATATAAACGAATATTGTGGACAGAAGTACCGGACTTCGCCATTTAGATTCCTGCGTTCTGTAGCTGTCCGCGACCTACGTCAATCCTGTGAAAAGAGATCCACGACACGAAAGGATTCATTATCCCGAAAGTTCGCGGGACGTTGACGAGTGATTAACCGCTCTCTTTCCCTCGAAAGAATGTAATAATGGCCGCGCATTCATTATTTAAATATGCAAGAGCATCGCGGTGTAATATATGACGGTGTAAAAATGCACCGACGTCATTTCGTTTTATCTGTATGAGCGATGAAGGAGCGCAGAGGACGATCTGGCAATAACTGTTCTGTTTTCGCAAAACTACGATCGGGCCATTGAATCGCTCTTTTCGGAATTGCGATACTACACCCCGATGAGAGTAAGAAGCACTTCAATTCCCGCACGAAAGCTGCCGAAAGCTCTCGCCATAAGCTGAGCCGGCGATATTTCTCGTTATCGCTACAGCGTCGAAGCGAACGATAAAAACCAGGCAACGTGTGATTGTACGAGCGAGTATAAATTATACAAGTATCAGACTCACGAGATAACGAGGGCTTAACTCGAGAGGAAAAAAAGAGGAGAGAGGGAGAGACTAATTTCTTTCGAGAGATCTCTCGTGCTGCTTCGACGTATATCGTTGTGTAATCGATCGAGTTAATAGGATTCACGTCGAGAAAATGAAAGGGAAACAAGACGAGAAAGTCGTTCCGGAGGATTTATAATTGCAGACCGGCAGGGGTGCGACAAATAGCAATTCAAGATACCTGTCTTAAATTCGAATTTAAACGCTGCTTATCTCCTTCCGACATTTCTAGCAGAGGAAGACTCGGAAAAGCTGCAACCGAACGAAACGTCGCTCTCTTAACGCAACAAACTCGCGTAAACGCGATATCACTGAGAAACACATTTGCATTTCTAAGGGGGAAGGAAGGGTGGAAGAGGAGAGGAAGTCGTTCGTGGAGGTCAAAATGCATTTAGCCTCTTCCAAGGGAGGAACGTCGAAATTAGACATCCGCAGACTAGATAGACATCTGTCTCTTGACTGCTAGTCGCGGAACTTCCGACTTTGACAAAGTGAATGAAATTCGAAATTCGCGCTAGCGATATATCCAGTTGATCAAATTTCATGTAAGATTCCTCAACGGGAGGAAGCAGCTATTTGCGGCGAAAGTTTCGCGGCCAAAACCGCGCGCGAGAGAGAAAGTTTTCCCTGGATGCATCTGGTATTAAAGCGGAGAAGAAGAGAGAGAGAGAGAGAGAGAAAAAAATTCGAGGAAAAACTTTCCGGAAGTTTTCCGATTCCTCTCTTTCTCTCTCTCCAGTGACAAAATTGAATCCTCGTTAAAGTGCCGTCACGTTCCGCCGATCGACATCGACACTTTCGTCCCGGCACAACCCAGATTCCTTTCCTTTTCCTCTTCCTTCCCGCCGGGTTAAATTACATTTCACTGCGTACCTTTGTAATTGCGATGGCAAAATACCCAGCTGCAATTGTCTGTCCTGAACGAAGAACGTGAACTGTTTGTATCACGTCGTCTCGAGCAAAACCTCGAGTTGGCTCAAATGTGATAGGAGTTTAGCGGCGCATTCTATTACGAAGCAAAAGATCTCTACTAAATATATCGTATATGTGTTTACAAATAAGCACTCTTACGACGGATTTCTTTAACAGTATTTTTTACGTGCAAATATGTTTCGCTCATAATATAGAAACAAAGTTCATTTACTTCCGCTATCATGCCCATTAATTAGTTGACAATGTTATTTAGTTTCACGCTTGTAGGCAAGGAATTATGATGCAAATTTGTAATGGCTGTTTTAATAGTTGTATATTGGCGCTCAGCCAAGATTATGCGACCACTGTCCGCGTTAATGTATGCTTTTATAAATGCATTATGTGTCACATGATGTTTTAAAAGCAACGGAGAGATTAAGAATGTTGTGTTATTTTTATCTGTCCATTTTTATCCATACTTTCAAAAAGATAATATTAAAATAATAAAATTAAAATGTTTTTACACAATCCTATTTACATATTACGTTATTAATTCTTATGATATTTTTTGTATATGTGTATATCGGATTGTGAGAATTCTCTGATAGTTGCATGTTGATAGTAGTATAAAATGTATTAAAAAATATATATATCTAAAAAATAAAGTTCTCATATCTGTGGGAAAGAAAATCGCCGATGACAACCAAATCTTTCACGCATGTCAGAGAAATTAATTTGATGTGTAAGTTTAACGCGGTTGCTTTTTGTGTGGAAAAAAGATAATCGTAGACTCGCGGTAGTATATATTGAGAATAATGATATGTCACGGGCAAAACGGGTGTCGGTTATCGATAAACAAATGTATCACAGTCGATCGCACTTCGCGCCTCCTCCTGCGAAATAATGATTTTCACTTCATCACCGACGGTAATCGTTGCTGACAGCCGGAGTCGGTTACCTTAATGAAAGTAATTATGGAGAAGAATAGTTCGACGATGTGGCTGTGAATTTCTAACGCTTTTAATTGACAGCTTAAAGGAGATATGAAATTTACATCCATCTTCGCGCATGTCCTTCGTTGAAGGATCTTTCGCATAATTCTGTTCGCGTAGAATTCTGAATATTTCATTCCTGTTTCGAAGCATTTCAATAAGTCGTCGAGGTTTTCGTTACGCTCGTTGCATAGTATCTTGACAAGTTTAGAGTAAATTTACAAGTCAAAACAAATTTACACGGATATAGGAAAAATCAAGCATAAAATCTTAAAAATTTTAATTGTTAATTAAATAACAAATTATTTAACGAAGATTTTGTGTTAATTTTTTTGCTAATTCTACTTTCTTTAACAATTTTTTTTTCATTTTTATATGTTAAACACCTTGGTAATTAAATTTTAAAGTAAGTTATATTAAACATCGGTCTGAAATATTAACTGCAAAGTTAAATTTTGTTTTTTTTTATTCTAACTCACAAAGCTACAAGTTTCATTAAGTTTATGAAAGTTTTTATGTGATTAAAATTTTGCCCAGCTTTAAAGTAAATTTTTCAACATGAGAAAAATGATGGAAAAAGATTATTTAGCAAGTGTATTATACATTACATTCAAATATATTATCTGGAACAATGCGTCATATCGAGTCAAATATCGCGCGATGGCATAAAACCCTCGCAAAATTTTCTTCTACTTAAAAGACTTAAAAAGTTCCTGAGAAGGGGAGATGCGCGCAAGTTACGTCAGATAAATGATACGTATTTTTACCGAGAGAAAACGGGAAGAGAATAATCTACTCACATTTTTCCGATTTTACGAATATATATATGCCGTTGGCCAACGTTGGATGACGTTGGTGGCATTTTTGTTCCACTGTGATTTTTCGAGCATTTTCCGAGAATTCTCCGAGTGCCGAAAAGACGAGAGAGGTAGCCGGACATTTCTCTTATTAGATTACCTCTATAAACCGACCCATCTTTCCGGAATAGCATATATCAAATATAATATATATAATATAGTATATATATGCCTCTTTCCGACCGCAAAACGGCGGGTGCGACACACCTGCGGGTGCATGTAAACCCGTTTTGCAAAACGTCACATACACGTATGGTGCGTGGCAAATTCGATATAATTCAATACTTAAACGCGATCGCATTCGTACAATTCGATAACGTTTTGTTATAATCAATTATGTTTTGATATAGAATATGTAGTCTATAAAACAATTATTAGTTGTAATAATAATATACCGTACCGAAGTCTGC